GATGCGCGGGGGGCAGCCGACGCCGAGGTCACCGCCATTTTGTCTACCGGCGACAGGCAGAGGTAAACTAGTATCACAGGCACTATTGCCAAGGGCGTCGAGCTGACAGTGGTCACTGTCGTCACCACAGCCGGGAGATTTGGTAGTGAGGCCTAAGTTAGATGTCGAGGCGCGTCGAGTACCAGACTGATGCGACGGTTGAGCCTGCTGTAGTGTGGTCGTCTCTGAAGAGCCAATCTCTGCGAGGGGTTTAATTACAGTACCCTTCCACCGCATCCTAGCCAGTTGGAGAAGACTGCGATCTGGCAGCAGGGTGTTGTCTTCCCGACTGAGTCGAGAACAGTGCATGGCAGCGGCTTTATAGCGTTCTGGTACTTTGGCGTGCACACCGAGGATGTGTTTTCGAATGTCGCCCATGCCGTGGGGTGATGAGGAGGGACAACCGGAACAGCAGAAGAATCTACGTCCGCGATTGCGTGTTACGTAGACCCTATAGGCAGTGTAGAGTTCCATTTTGTTGACGAGAACATCAAAGTAGGTATTGGGACAGTACCCGCGAACTAAAGCCTTTAAAGCGGACTTGGAGTAAGGTAGCTCGATTACGCGTTCCACTTCGTTGGGTGGACGTTCATTCAAATAACGTAGCGTCTCCTCAGTATTTATAGATGGCGGGTGAGTATCTTCACCAGAATCGTCCACAAGCCCCTCCCCCTCCCCCTCCTCCTGATGTTGCTCAACTAAAGAGCCCTCCTGGAGTGAATCAAAGGCAGAATCCTTAGAGTTAGGTGAAAGAGACTCGTGGGGTCGTTTGCTGGACCTCTTTGGCCGCGCAGGAGTACTGATGGGAGTTGAGGCTGCACGCATTTTGAAAGCCCCGATTCTGCTAAAACTAGGATAACTGTGACGGAATGGTGGTCGGTAGAATCGGCGCGACAAGAGTCCATTGTCATGAGCGGAGGGTGTTCGTTTACCATCAAGTCCACTCAATCGCTTGTGATCAGACATCTCGTCTTGAAAGAGGAACCCACTATTCTCCGTGGGGCTGCCATCAAGTGGTCCCTCCTGCTCCGTTTCGTGATCGGTGCCCAGGTCTGCAAGAGGCCGCAGGGGTGGAAGAACACCGGAGTAGGACCGTCCCAAGGACGATCGGTAACTAGAACGCCCAGGAACTCCTGACGCCATTGAAGTTACGTTGGAGCCGGCCCTAAAAGTACTGACACCTCGGGCAGTACTGCCACCGGCAGATTGGTCAGCATTTAACCTTATGGGACGATCCATTGCCAGTCGAAGGAGCATTTCATCTGGATAGAGCTGGAAGTTGTTCTCCCGACTTATCCGAGACGCCTGACAACAGATTGTGATGAATTCGTGCGGAATACGTGCATGCACACCCATTACGTGACGTCGACTATCCGCTAGGGTGGCTGCACGCATTTTACTCTCGGGTTGACGAGTTGTGACAAATATGCGCCCACAGGGGCAGCGGAAAGCAAGAGTCCGATCATTAACGCAGATTCGGGTCATCACATAAGTGCTGTAAACACGCATCTTCCTGCAAACATCATTCACGTGG